CACAAGAAACGTATCACAAGACAAACACAAGAAACGTATCACACGACAGACACAAGAAGCGTATCACAAGACAAACACAAAAAACGTATCTCAAAACATGTCTACAAAGCACACGTGCCCTTTAATATCCGGTGTCGATAGATGAGAACAGTAAGCTATGTCAACTTGTGTGTTGTCGAATCTATATACAGACTGGATGGCGTGATCATTCCTGTAATCATCCTTGGGGCTTGATTCGAGTCCAAAGTCTCCCGAGATCGGTTGTGTGTCTGCGTCGCATCAAATTCAATCCGCGCGCTTATTCGGCGTGCTTATTTGGCGTGCATGATCTCGCCCTCCACCAGACAGATGCCCTCGCTTGAGTTGACTGAGAAGGCTGTGCCGTCGGTGCGCACCTGTGTGCGGACCACATTCTTGGACGGCAGGAATGCGGGCCGCTATAAAAAAAACCGATAGTAATGGACAATTAGAGACACACGGGGGAAATACGCCGAAGTTCGGGATTTGAGGCGCAATACAACGCACAAAGCTGGGGGGTGTAGTTGGTACCGCGTGAAGTCAATGAGTTTAATGTCCTTCCAGTTAAGTGGACATGACTTTGCTCATATTTTACATCGTAGTTCGGTACTTGCTAAAAAAAATTACCCGAAGTTAACGGAAAACGCGGAAACGACCAGCTATGCTACTCGCACAGCCGACAGCAGACATGAATAAAATGGAACGGTTTCAACGCACTATATACTGGAGGGTGGCTGGCGGGACTAAACTGGTTCAGATGCAGGTGCAACTAATACCAACCCAACACATGATGGATTGAAGTGCATGGCTGGTGGGACTATACTAGTTCAGATGCAGGTGCATGGCTGATGAGACTATACTGTTCAGATGCAAGTGCACTCATACCAGCCCAACACATGATGGATTGAAGTGCATGGCTGATGAGATTATACTAGTTCAGATGCAAGTGCAACTAATACCAACCCAACACATGATGGATTGAAGTGCGTGGCTGGTGGGACCATACTAGTTCAGATGCAAGTGCAACTATTACCAACCCAACACATGATGGATTGAAGTACATGGCTGGTAGAGTAGACATAATTCCGGTGCGTATCGAGCGCAAATGTAGGTTTGCGAGCTGTGAGATGCGCCTACAGAGAGCGTCGTCTATTGCATTCATTCATCCACCGCATTTCACAACCAACAACAAAGCCGTAGCACCTTTCGCTCACAAATTCCGCAGCAACGTGGTCCAAGCGTCCGTCCGTTGTGAAAACAGGGCACACATACAACAGACACACCCGGACGAAGGTGTCGGCTTACCCAACAACCAAACAGCGCAGCACATACCTTGAAATAGGCCTGGGTTACGATGGGGAACTTGGCGGGTGTAGTGTTCATGATCTCTGCGTTGACTGTGCCGATGGTGTACAGCCCGTGCGCGATGGCCTTGCGGAAGCCCATGAGCTTAGCCAGCATGCCGTGCATGTGGATGGGGTTGTAGTCTCCGGACACTGTTACAGCAGGAGATGGGCATGGATAGCAGCGGATTATATTGGGATGTGTGTTAGCTTAGTCAGCATGCCGTGCAAGTGGATGAGGTTGCAGTCTCCGGACACTGTTACAGCAGGAGATGGGCATGGATAGCAGGGGTTTATATTGGTTATGTGTGTTAGCTTAGCCAGCATGCCATGCATGTGGATGGGGTTGTAGTCTCCGGACACTCTTACAGTGTGGTATCTATTGGTACATGTATGTTTATCTACACAGATGACGCTCGCCGATGGATGTATGCATAGTGGCACTGCAAGCAGCTCATGATATGGCACGGGAGATGGTTGCTAGGTAACGCCTAGTGTATATAGTAGGTACGATATGACTCACTCAGAAGCCACTGATTGACGTGACTGAAATAAAACAGAGATTATAGATACACTATAAATAATGTATAGCTCTGCGAAGTGCAGATGGACAGGTCACTCACTATCCACGGCGTAATCCCTGGTACTACAATAACTACACACACATACAGCACACCAATCAACATTCCCGTACTAGTATACCATACATACAGTTGGAGACTAAACAACACCCTAACAACACTCAGCATGTAATTATGTAAAGGCATTAAGGCATAAAGACATAAATATATATATATATATATATACTCTTACATACCCGCAGCGTACTTGCGGCCCGCGCTCTCGGCCAGCAAGAAGGGCTTCTCCACCACATCGTCGCCCTCAACAGGCACCTCTATTGCGTTCTTGACGTCGTCTGGGGTGAGTGGGTTGCGGTGCACATGCAGCACAGTCATGGTGCTGGTCCAGGGGATGAGGCCTTCGGCGTCTACCAGATGGCTCTGATACTCGACTATGGTGCCGCGCTTGGAGTTGCGGACGGCTTCGCAGACCTGGGTGCACATGAGATGTAGGTACAAGTAGGGATATGGTAGGGTCGGTTGGTGGTGGTTAGACCGAATACACGCATGTATTGATAGCGTGAGGTGTTGGAGATACCATATGTAAGGGTAGGGGGTGGGGTAGTCAACGAATAGCAAGAGGCGTTGAAGACACCATATGTAAGTAAGTGTGTGGGAGGGGGGAGGGGGTTCAATGGGTGGTATATGGTGTCTAGCTGGACAACATACAGGCGAGTTCCGCATAAGATGCGAAAGACACACATGCTGTGACAAGGAATATGTCATGGTACATACGTGACAGGATTATGTCATCCCATTTATGCAGTGCATAAGCTCACATATGTATAAACCCACATATGTATAAACCCATATATGTATAAGCCCACATATGTATAAACCCACATATGTATACACCCATATATGTATAAACCCACATATGAATACACCCACATATGTATAAGCCCACATATGTATAAACCCACATATGTATAAACCACATATGTATAAACACACATATGTTTAAACCCACATATGTATAAACACACATATGTATACACCCGCATAAGTATACACTCACATATGTATAAACCCACATATGTATACACCCACATATGTATAAACCCACATATGTCTACACCCATATGTATAAACCCACATATGTATACACCCACATATGTATACACCCACATGTGTATAAACCCACGTATTTATACACCCACATATGTATAAACCCACATATGTATAAAATCAAATATGTATAAAAGCCCACAAATGTATAAACCCACATCTGTATAAACCCACATATGTCTAAACCAACAATGTATAAATCCACATACGTATAAAGCCACATTGTATAAAGCCACATGTGTATAAAGCCACATATGTATAAAGCCACATATGTATAAAGCCACATATGTATAAAGCCACATATGTATAAGCCCACATATGTATAAACCCACATATGTATACTCATATATGTAAACACCCACATATGTATAAACCCACATATACGGCGAGGTTGCTTGACTGTGCAGTACAGTGTACTCGTATTATAGCTCGGTCATGGACTTACATGTAACGTCAATGATCCTGAGACTCGACTAGATATAAGCACAGAACACTCATTTAAAACCGCCCATTGGCGGACATGTAGTGCGCTGTGCAACTCGCATGAACGTGAATGTGAAAGTGAAAGTCTCCAATACACGCATGCGCATATGTACAACGTATATATGAGTGAGCGTTTGCTTTCGCCACGGACGCGGATATAAAGGGTTCTCACACACATACAAACATAAATCAATGTAAATATGGCTTCTTACCTTGATGAGGAGGCCTCTCACACACGCACATACATATGTATATATTCATGTAAACATATTTGTGTGCGTGTATAGTTTACTACCTTGTATTGAATGTAAAGATCCCGTTTACACACACGCACATGTATATGTATGTGTACCATGTATATGTATATGTATGTTTATGTGTGTAGGGGGTATCATACCTTGAACTTGGATGTGAAGGTCTCGTCTACGCGGAGGGCGCGCTCTTGTCGCACAAAGTTGCTGACATGCACCATTCCCAGCAGCGGAAATGGATAGTCCGCCTCACACAAGCGCTCAATGAGACTCATAAACATTTGGGTCTGTGGAGACAGAGTTAAAAATACTTAATTATAAATATATATATATATACATATATACATATATATATATATTTATATGTATATATATATATATATATATATATATATATATATATATATATACACACACACACATATATATATATATATATATATTTATATATATAATCAGTCATGCATGTATGTGTTGGACGTGTAATGTCGCTTAAGATAAATTGTATTCTGGTAAGCATGTATGTAGAAGATGTGCGTATGTAGGTATATGTCTGCAAGTGTGCAAACAAGCATACATATACAGGGATGAACATGATAGGTATCTCCGCGCTTATAAACATATACACCTGCGCATATGCGTGAGCCGTTCTCCGCGTGTGTGTTGTACATATCTGAAGAAAGAACTCTGAACGAGCCAAGCACAACCCAAATCACAAGGCGCTGTCAAACTACACACGCAATAACCATTGCCATGCAGACCTCTTGCAAAGCGTGTGGCGTGTTCAAACGTTCAAGCACCACACCGTCGAACTACTAGAACGCTGTACATCGCGAGTAAGCGCCAGCGTTCACCGCACGCGTGCATGTTGCATGTTACTGGAAAGGGCCGTTATTGTCCTGGCGTAGTAGCCAATGCGAAGTATAGCGGATGGCAGAGACATGGGTGTATCCCAGGCATTAAATAGACCAATTCACAGCCTACAAACGACCATCGCTGTGCATGTAACTGCTTAGCACTGTGTAGGTCTATGTAGTAAAGTAGGCTATACGATGCAGGCTAAGTACTTAACAGACTATACGATGCAGGCTAAGTACTTAACAGACTATACGATGCAGGCTAAGTACTTAACAGACTATACGATGCAGGCTAAGTACTTAACAGACTATACGATGCAAGTATGCTACTACCATGTCCCGACCGCATGCTGCTAATACAGGCAGACGCTTCCCTATGAGAAACGGAACAATATCGTCCACCCCTATTCATAGATATACCAAACCGCATGCACCACAGCAACCAAGAAATACCCACACCTACCTGTGGGTAGAGCACAGGGATCTCGCCGAACTTCTCGATACATTTGGCCTGTACACCCAGCACCTTGGAGTATGCTGCCAGATTACCGGCATCGGGTGTCCACTCGAACTCATTGGTGATGGTCGAGGAGAGCTTGAAATCCTCACTCTGCACTTTTTTCTAAAGTGATTGATAGGCAGACAAGACAGTTCGGTAGTTATCGATAAAATGGGCTCGACAGGTAGGCACCAAGAGATGGCTGGTACACCTCAACGATAGTGGATAGAGATATGAAGACGGAGAAACCCTTGAGGTGTGGGTGTTTTATAACGTGTTGTGAGGACTCTGGGACAACTATCCAGATATAATTCACAGTGGTCTCACAATAGGTGTTAGCTTGATAGGCACAAATACAAATTCTTTGAAGTACCGCCTTGGCATAGTGTAAAATATATGCCTCAACATAATTATTCGAATAAAAAAATTATATTAAAGTATACACATGTATGCAAATATAAAAACATGTAAAAACAAGTAAACACACACACACATATATATATATATATATATATATATATATATATATATATATATATATAAATATATATCAATATATAAATATATATATATATATATATATATATATATATATATATGTGTGTGTGTGTGTTTGTGTCGATATATATAAATATATATAACATATACATATACATATATATATAGACACACACACATATATATATATATTTATATATATATATATATATATATATATTTATACATATATATATAACATCGATATGTAAAAATATAAATATATACATATATACATATACATATATTTATATATATATATATATATATATATATATATATATATATATATATATATATATATAATATATTTATATTTATATATATCGATGTTATATATATATGTATAAATATATAAATATATAAATATATATATATATATATAATACATATATATATGTATATATATATATACATATATATATAGATTTATGTAAATATGAATATATTGATATGCATATTTATATGTATACATATATATATATATATATATATATATGCATGTATGTATGTATTATATACGTATGTATACAATCGTGTATAATTACACTCATGCAAGGACGGACATCCATATGTAGCGTACGTTGATGTGACAATCAAAATAATTTTAAGCAGAGAGTTATTCTCTTGTCCTCTATCGAGCTTGAGAACAACTCAACGATCCAAATACAATAACTTTAACACTAATTTGAAGTAAAAAATCACGCATACCTTCCAGCCCCTTTTACTGACTGACGCGATGGCGGCCTTTCCATACGCTCTAATTGCCACTGGGACGCCAAAGATATACCCCGCCGCCACTGTCACCAGCGCGATATAGACAATACACATAAACAAGGACCAAAGCATATTTTCAGATTAGGTGAGTATCATACAGGTACAATATACTTCTGCCCCAACTCCTACACTTCATCTCATTGTTCAGAAGAAGAGATTTTGTTTTGTGTTCAGCAGAGAGAGAGAGAAGGAAGCGTCATCAGTCAGAGAATATCACGAATTCACGACCGCTTTTCTCGCACGCTGTAAACGTTTAACGTAATTGCTAGAAAGATTGAATGTTATACGTTCGAGCGTAAAATGACTAAAACACCCCAGGGCCCAGAGTTAAAATCACGATATTACTGTGTTCTTAGGTCTCTTGGTACTATGCTATGTTATAAACGTTTAGCTTCGCCTTCAACACAAAAACGAGAAACGAATTGAGGTTTTTATTTAGTTTAGACAGATGGTCTAATATAGGCTCTATGGCTTATACCTCTAGGGCATTGAATGTGGGGAGATGAAAAAGCCGGTTGTTGAAGTTGTACAGAAAGTTAACTTCTGTCAAATTGGAACCGCGTATCACGTTGGGCGGGCTGACCAATAGTCACCAATGCGTTGGACCAAAGAGCAGTTCGGTATCAGTATATGAAAGTATAGCTCAATGTGATTGGTGGATTCAAACTAAAATTATTATACAAAGACAGACTCTCAGGACTTCATGACTTCCAGGAATCAGGACTAATTTTTAAACAGTATTTAGATTTTTGTATGTAGAGCTTGGGCCCAATGCACATTCCCTTGTTCATTTTTTTAGGAGGAGGCTTTAAAAGTAAATTCCATTTTGTTTATTTTGGGTTTGAGGTTTCGCGGGAAGTGCCAGAGCCCAAAGAGCAGTAGCTAAAACCGGAGTCCGAAAAGGAGTGATGAACTGGATACTTTCGTGGGTGGGTGAAGTATAGCATACAGCATCATCAGTAACCAATAACTTACTATCAATCCCGATACGTAACGGTAGTATCATCTATAAAACCATACAGCAAATATTCAGTCTGATATATCGGAACGCTGTAGAATACGATAATATATACCCAGAAAAAGTATGTCGTCTATCTGTATGTGCGCCAGAGCGCCCGACAGGCATGTGTTTGTTTGTCTGGTGGAAACGCATTGTTGAGATGCTCACAACTCAATATATCAATTTAAACGTATATACTAGCATAAATATACGATTTTCGCATTTGGAACACTCTTTAGTATCTCAGTGTCTTCTCTAAGTATAGCATGCTACTGGCTTGGTGTAGTCCGTGCACCTCGATATGAATGTGGTGAATACGACGGCAAGAATACTTCGATGCATGCGAATATGATACATATGAATGGTAGTGCAGCCCATTCAAAAATGGATGCACATGACAGTTTATTTGTGTCTGTGTACAACGCGCTTTTAAGTATGCGCGCGAAAGTTGACTCGTATGATTATTAGCAATGTGTGGTTTATATATATATATATATATATATATATGCGTGTGTGTGTATGTATTTGTATATTTCTATGTATATTATATATATATATACATATATATATATATATATATATATGTGTGTGTGTGTGTGTGTGTGTGTGTGTGTGTGTATTTTTATATGCATATGTATATGTATGTATATATAAGTATATATATATATATATATATATATGGGGTGTCTGTATGTGTTTGTATGTATTTATGTATATGTACGTAGATGTGCTTGTAGATATAT